ATATATACAAAATCACTGATAGTTATGCAGCACAAATTGTAATTATCGAAAATCCTTGAATATGTATAATTTTTTGAAGTGTGTCTTAATATAATATTCCTAACCTATATCTAATTTGTAGCAAGCAAGCCGCAATTTTGGAACTGAGGTAACCGTCAAAGCTGTACCCCTAGCAGTGAAGAAGCATAAAGTTAGCCAAGCCATGAAAGCGTACCTCGAACGTGCTCGCGAAAATGATGAATTCATGAAAACCCAGAAGCTTGAGTATCAAATTGGTAAAAGGCATTTGGCGAATATGATGGGAGAAGACCCGGAAACGTTTACGCAAGAAGACATCGATGTAAGTAAACATGCTCAGTTTCTTAATAAAATTTATAGTTGGATTGTTCTGTTTGTAGAATGCTATCGAATATTTATTCCCCTCTGGATTGTTTGATAAGCGAGCACGTCCTCTAATGAAAAGCCCTGAAGAAATCTTTCCAGCGCGTAAAGCAGCAGAGTTTGATGAAACAGGTCGTCCCTTTCATAGTATGTTCTACACTGGACGGCCGAATTTCTTTAAATTACTATACGTAGGTATTCAAATCATCGATTATTGATTATTTCTATTCAAATGCAATTTACTTAGGACATTGTTGAGGAGATGAATAGCTTATATGATCTTGAGGAACGTATGATGCGTCGAGGTACACGCGCTGACCCAAATCAAAAAGTGTAAGTTTAATTTATCCTAATCTTATAAGAAATAATTTTGATTTTATTTAAGTGACTTCACTGGATTTCAATGGTTAACTAAGGATCAACTAGAAGCAATATTGGTGGAACAAATAAATGAATTGGAATATACAAATTTCACCAATGCAATGGATCGCTTAGTATCGCTTCCATTTTCATATAAAAGTCGAGATTTTATAAATAAATTTGCCAAACCACTTTTGGATCAAACCAAACAACTAGAGATACCAAAACCGCAATTCGATGCTGAAGGTCGTCAATTTGTTACGATATATGGTATGTAGTCTTAAAATAGCCTGATTTGAACAATATAAATGAATTTAATACATTTCCTATCGTTTAGAATGCTTACGTAAGACAGCACGCGGCGATGTTACAGTTCGCCTACCAGGTACAGGAAAAATTACAATTAATGGCCAAGACATCACATATTTCGAAGAATTACAGTCTCGTGAACAGGTTAGCTTCTTTTTTTATTCCCAACTGCAACTTTATTTTAAATGCAGCATATGTATATTCATAAATAAGCTAAAAATAGCTCACTTAGTCCCTTTGCTACTGAAATGAAGTAAATAGCTGTCAAAAATGATCGAAAATATTTGTTAATCATGATTCTCTTCGAGGGAGAATATTCTTTTAAGAAATATCAAAAATTTCATATTTGAAGTCTTCTACATGCTAATTTTTGTTATACAATTTTGAACTTACAGAAATGTTACATAACTTTTGAAACTTCCTTATGGGATCTATATCGTTAAGGTCTTCAAAAGGTCATTTTTTGTCATATCAAAAATTGATGCTTTCACTTGTATCATTTAGAGAATTAACCATTCAATTTTATGTGAATTATCTGTTTTCTAGGTCTGTGATTTCAACTGATTTTTCATAAAAAAATGCTGAGTTTGAAAGTAAAACCGGCAAATACTGCATGTTATGTTTGACAGCTTCCACTCGCAAAGAAACTCTCAACCGCTAAATGCGTTTCTGGTTATTGTTAGAGTGCAAATAAATAAGCTTTAGACAAGACAACACTACAAAAGATGATTAATTGTCTTTTGACTAGCTTTCCCTATCGTTTCTCAGAGACATCATATAAATATTCCTATACGTCATCCAAATGCTACATATATCATTTCATATTAATCCTACTCAACTAGCTCTTTTCTCCCGGAAACCACATGGAAAGAAACACTCGAAACGGCTCATTTTATAGACCTACCTTAGATGTCCTCAATGTCCTGAATCTAAGCCACACCTATCATTTGTTAGATGGAATTTAAACTTTACTAAATAATGACAATATGCTGTTTGAGTTAGGGAGATGACCGTTATAATAAACGGAATTCACGATTATCGTTAGCAAGCAGAAAAATCAATTGCACTGTGACGTTTCATCTTTACTAAAGCTAATAACCGTCCATGTCTGTTGGATTGTCTTCTGTATCGATCGTTTATCAGGCCTCTGTACTGCTCAGTGCGAACCGAAAAGGTTTATTAGTATTACTAAGTAAACAGCTATGACTATGACTATGTATTACTAAGTAGGAGCTTGACACTCTCCCCCACTAAATCCATAGCGACCATATTCACAATGACGTTAAAATTCCGACTGCCAAAAACCCAAAGTTTTTAGGAGTTACACTCTACAAACCGTGCTTCTTTACTCCTCTTACGATCGCGATTATTATTAGCAATATACTGTGAGCAATATACAAGGTAATCGGTCGGCCGGTTGTAAACTACGCTGCACTGATATGGTCGCCTGGATGTAGTGAAACGCAGACGAAGAACCTTCAGACGCGTCAAAATACAGCACTCTAAACGATATCTCTTGATGTCTCCTATTGAGGCCCACAAGGTACATTATGCACTCGTCTCCAAGCAGTTTGCTTTTCGCAGAAACCATCCCTGTAGTCGTCTGCTTGAAGCGGAACCGCCTCCTAGGAATATCAAGAGGGTTTTCCTTTCTTACGTCGACGACATCGAACAATACAACGACCGGACTACAAACGAAACACACTTTAGACTTCTACTGACCGCTATTCACACTACCGCTATTCATATGGAGTCAAACCACCACCCATTGCAGACGAAGATCTCGAGTTGCCCCGAGAATCTAGTGTAACCCTTGCGGGACTTCATTCTAGATGCTGAAGCATGTTAAACTCCAAATTATCCAGAATCGATCCCTAGTTGTATCTATATAGTGCGGTTTAACCGGAAATTGGATAAATTCTTATATTAGGTACATATATGCGGACTAGGGAAACATTGACCTCATTTTATCCCCTTTTTTTTTGCTATCAGGTGTTTTGTTATTAGTTTAGTGATTGAATTTGTTATTGAAGGTTGTTTACGTGCTCTATACAATGTTATCATATTCCCTTTGTTACTTACTATTTGTATAGATTTGTTTATCGTTAGGTTTATTTGCAAACAATAATCATATATGCAGTGTATGTAATGCAACATATGTAATAAAATCTGTTATGTATGCATGTAGTTTATGCAGTACATGTGTGTATGAATGTATCTATGTAATATATGTATAAAGTATATGTACTAACGTCCTTAACTCCCGCGAATACGTAGTCCGTGAAAATTCAAAATTCGCGATACTTTTTAAACAAATCTCATATTTGGCCAAAAACAACGCATTAATCGACACCATGCTCCCCAGACCTGGCCTGTGACTTTTTTGTTCCCAAAACTGAAGAGGCCCATGAAAGGACGACGCTACGTTAAGATTGAGGAGATAAAAACTGCATCGAAGGAGTAGCTGAACAAGATCACAAAAAATTACTTTTGTAAGTGCTTTAAGGATAGTCATAATTGCATTATATTTAGCGGTGATTATTTTGAAGTGGACAAAATAGAAATTCATAAATAAATATAATATATATGGGGAGTACAAGTACACATACAATGACAGATTATTATCTGAAAAAAGATGTCCTCTGAATTCATAAATACATCTGACAAAGCGGTAAAAGGTCACATATTCAGCATCTAAGGGCCTGAAAAGTTATGGTTTGAGTTCACCATTTTTTTCATTTAAAGAACAATTTTTTTCCAAACGCTTTTTGTATACTGTAAAGTGGGAGGATCTGATGGAATTTAAAATTGTGTTTTATGCTTAATTGTTGTCCGATTTCGCCCATTAATTAACAACAGTAACAGGGATATCAACAAAATGCTTTGCACCAGATTTAGTTGACATAGTTCAAGTAGTTCCTAAGATATGCGATTTCAGCTTAAAGTGGGCTGTGTCACGTCTATTAACCAATTTTTACACCTATGTCTAAATAAAAGTAAGCTAATATTATACTCTTCCATACCATCTTTACGGTATTTAGTGCCAAGAAATAAGTGTACCAAATTTCATCAAGATATCTGAATGTTTACTCAAGTTATCACTTGCCCGAAAACTATTGTACTAATGAGAGCTTGTTATGGGAGTTTAAACATTCATCGATAACGGCTCTTATCCAAAGTTTGGACCTTTCTCAGTATGTGCTTAACTTCATGACGGTCACAAGCGAGCTTGGTCAGTATAATCAAAGTTTTATTCAAATGACCACTTGCACAGGTTATGACACATCGCGAAATCAATTCGATTTGACATTCCGAACATTTTAATACATAACTTTATAATCTTACTTTATTATTTTGAGGTGGTACAAACAACCTTAAGGTAAACAAAAAAAAGTTTATGCGTTCTTGTTCGAAATTTCTCTTTCAATTTTACTGCACAACTTTAAAGTAGCAAACTATAATTTCATATCGGAATTTCGTGGGATGTAGTTAAGCTATCAATCCGTTCATTCTTTATTACCTTTAAATGTTGTAAACTGTTTTGTCAGTTAGAACCCAATGTATATTTCGTTCCTTTTAATGTAAGTTCTTACTACCGTCTTCATAATCGTGTTCGTTTAAGTCAATACAATTTTGCCAACCATTAACAAAATATGGATTTTCCTGCGAATTTCTTTCTATGACTCCAATTATTTTGGCTAGATTTTCATTCCAATTCCACTGAAAACAATTATTTTTCATAGCAAAAATCGGTATGTCAAGTTTTATGGTGTATTCCTGGATATTTCCCATTCTCCCCAACATTTTTTAAACGGTACAATTAAACATTGTTAAATTAAATAGCATTTCAAAAACTTTAAATTTGTTTATTGTAATATTAAACGTCATTAGGCTGTTCTTCTATATTATATTTAGAGGATTATCCTAAGTAAATAAAAATATTTAAAAAGTAATAAAGGAAAACAGATTTCAAACGTTTTATTCAATACTGCTTTGGTTTTTCATCTACGTATGCCTTATTAGAGTTCTACAAAATAAAATTGCCAAATTGCGTTTTTTTTTGCCGAAAAGTTCCGAAACAAAATTTTACATAATATACACAGTACATAAGTTTGTACTGTGTAAAAGTAAAAATATTATAAATACTCGTATGTTATATTAATGATTATTAATAATGCTAACTACTTTATATAGCCATGCCTAGATTATCTAATTGTATAGATGGCATAACTTAATGCTGGTTTCTGTCCGCGCTCGCCCACTCCGGTCTTCTCTGCACTAAATAAATAACAAATAATAATAAAAAAATGTACAAACATACAGATATATATATATATATATATATTATATATTGTTAATAATAATATAATAACTAAACAATATTCCATTTTATTTGAAATCCGCTTATGTTGTCACTTTTAATTATTTCCTTAAATTATTCTTTTGCTGATTTGAAATCACAATCAATAGTTTATCGATCACTTTGCTCGCCTGCTGCTGTTGTGTGATGAGCGCTTGCTTCAGTTCCTGAATTTCCTGCGTAAGGAATTCAATGCGTTCTGTATTTTCGTCGATTTTCGTCGTTAGCGTGTTAAAATGTGCCGTTTCCAAGTCATCCATTGAATAGTTTTGCGTTTGATTGTCATTATATTTATTTTTGTATTGCAAATAAGTCGCGGCTGTTCCTTTCGCCGAAATTGTATGTCCGAAATGTTTTCGCATTTTTCCCACTTCGTACGCCTTCATTAGTATTTCGCGTGGTAAACGCTTTTCGCTGGGATTCAGCGGTTTTACGCACAACACGACGCGGTAGGCCTGCGGCGAGACAAGTGCCGTATAGTGTAGGAGATTGCGTAGCCAAGGTGGTAGATAACCGTTAAAGAGTGCGGACTCTATGTACGATATGAGTTTAGTTTGGCGCACCAGTTTCGAGAGGCCTGCGGTCTTCTTTAAGCCCTGTATGTCATGCACGGCTATGCCGACCAATAAGTTCATCAGTATGATTGTCACGAAGAGCAGGAATAGCACAAATGTTATCTGGGCGCTCACTTCCAATAAGAATGGCGGGTCCTTGCCGTCGGGATCGTTGATCAACAATGAAAGATCTTGTTCGCCGATCATCATTACTAGAACAGTGATGAATCCCATGAAGGGGTTAGCGAATGAAGAAGATGAGGGAAAAATCACACAAAAACTGATCGTGAAACCGATCAGCATGCACGAGTAAGCCATGAAAAGTTTTGCGAATTCACCTTGTACACGTGTGTACATCGCCACATAGACATCGAAGACTGGTAATTGACCAATCATCAACATCAGATTTGTCCAACCCAATAGAACCGCAAATGCGCCTATGTGGTTCTGAAAGGTATATGTCTTGTTCGTGTATATGTAGGAGATGATAAAGACGCTAGTTATGACGAACCATTCCATTATATTTTCCACCTGTGTCACATAGTGTTTGAATGTTGAATAACCCGTTATACCGTATAGCTTGCGAAATATCTCAACGATTGTGATAGCGACCAATACCCACCATTGCATTTCCATGACGAAGGGATTATTGCGCAGCATATCGCCGAGTATGGACTGCTTTTGGCAAAGCTCTTTGGCCTGAATGGTCGTGTTGTCGTCCTTGCTGCCGTTATAGCAATTGTGTGCGAGTGCTGTGAGTACGTATAATGTGAGGAAGAGCACGAAAGTGAAACAGAAGATAAGCCGACCAATATAGTATTTACGTATTTTACCCCATTTGATGTACAAAAACGAGGAGCACAATGGATGCTCGAGTATTTCCTTCTGGCCTTCATCCACAAATGTATTGAGATAACTTATCTCACGTGGATGACAATGCTGCAATAACTGCCGAAAGTCAAGTTCTAACTCTACCTCGCGGTTGACAGGGTCCTGTGAGTGGTGCAGTGTAATGGCGGCATCCAGTTTTTGGCGTATCATCGCCACCGAAGCGGGCGTCTTACGCGTGATGACATTCAACGCTGAAGTGCCCTTTTTTGATTTCGTTGTCACATCCGCGCCGTGAAAGATCAGCATTTCTACGGATTGCGCCAAGCCGTCGAGCGCGGCTAAATGTAAGGCGGTGAAACCATAAATATCTTTATGATTCACATTGGCTCCCCATTGTATTAGTGTCTCGAGTATATCAAAGGCATTCTCCGATTTGCCTATCGCCGCGTGCAATGGTGTACGATGATCGAAGTCTTCGGCATTGGGATCGGCATTACCGTTACGCAACAGGGATTCCACACATTCAAGGCTAGAGGTGCGCGCTGCTAAATGCAAGGCTGTGAAGCCGCGATGATTCTTCAATTTCGCATCAGCACCCTTTGCCAGTAGTAGGTCGACACATTCAACATTGCCCTCATCCGCGGCCAAATGCAACGCTGTCGACTCCTTTTCCCGTATGCATATCCGCACATTGGCATCGGCACCAGGTGCACTCAACAGCGCCTCCAAACACTGCGCGTTGCCCAAATCTGCAGCCAGGTGTATCGCATTCGTGCCATTTGGTTTCAAAGAATTTACGTCTGCGCCCTCTACAATGAACAGTTTCACGCATTCGAGTGCATTGGCGCGCACAGAACAGTGCAGTAGACTCTCTTCACAGTTGGGTTTGTTTGTGTCGATGGTGATAAGTGCACCATTATTGATTAGAAACTTAGCCGCTTCGGCGGAATTGCCGAAAGCCGCGCAATGTAGCGGCGTATAACATTTTGGTTGTAGGTTCACATTCATAGACTGGCCGACTAGGAAACTTAATGTCGATAAGCAGCCACTGAAGGCGCCCAAATGCAAAGCCGAAATGCCATTTTGATCACAGAAATTCAATTCAGCGCCAATGTCTAGGAAACTTTGCAGTAAGTCCCAGCGTTTCAAGAACGCTGCCCATAAGTAGCTGAGATTCTTTTCGATTTTCGATGCTGATTCGAAATGTGCTTTGGTGTTATCTTTAATCACGTTGCCCTGTTCAATATCCTCTAGGAAACGCACCCGTCCTGCGGCGCTCTTCATCTGGTCGATTAGACTGATGCGCAGAGTGTCGTTGCAAATTTGTACGCTTAGCTCGCTGGTAGGCTCCTCGAAGCTATCATACATACTGGGTGCACTTTCGGCTGGCGGCGAGGGTCCGCACTCCATATACTCGAATTCACCGGGTGTCGGATATTGGGCCTCTATCATGGCGTCCGCATTATTGTTGCGCCATCGTACCATTAAATTTGGCGGTATCGATTTGAATCTGTGTGGATAGTGATAAAGGTATGGAAAGAAATATGTATACGTTTATTAAGTATGCATATATAAGATGGAGCAAAGCTTATGTGTATGCATTATTAAAATACACAAAGTATGGGGGATGTTATGGGGATGATGAAATAAACAAAGGCTACACTCGTGATTACACCTCAATATTTTAGTTCGACAGCAGTGCCATTGATAAGAAAATAAGAAAGCTTTCTAGTTCTTATATTGTATATATATATAAACAAGATTGGCAAATTTCGTTGTTATTAATATTAATTTTAAAATATATTACTCATACGCCCTGACCGCTTAAATGATTTCTTTAAGGTTTCTTCATACTCAATGAGATGTTGATTCCTACATTTGTAATTTTCTGCTAATGTTTTGCTATTTTGCAAATTTTGGAAAATTTAAGTATATTTTTTATAATTGTAATCTATGTGTATATTTATATTTGTGGCTTGGTAATACTTCGTTCGAACATGAAAATTAAATGTTTTGCGTGAAAAATTGTGGAATTAATTTTTTTAACTAACAAAACATTTGAAGATAATTATAACAGTGGTCTACATTGGTCCCAATTTATGAGACTATCATTGATTTTGTAAGATTTGTTTTCGTTTAGTTTTAAATCTTCATTTTCATTTTACACTACAAAAATCAGAAAACATGAAATTAAATAACATAATTATTTATAATGTCAGTTTTGTTTTGAAAACATTCAAAACAGAGAGACAAATATCTAAAACATATGCTATATCCCAACTAAATGCCTTTCATTAGCTTTTCCTTTTCTTAATCAGCATAATCTTCTATCACATTTAGATTCTGTTGAAACCGCTCTCAGTGTTCCACATTTATATTTTCCAACTATATTTTCCAAAATTATCCGAAATTTATCCAGATGATTGCGTAGATAGTCTAAATTGATATTTTCTCTTAGAATTCTTAAGTTTGTTAGATTGCCTAAAAAAATTTCGACTACAAACAAACACCCTTTACAAACTTCAATTACAGGAACAGTCTTAACCTTGATATAATCTGTATCTTTTATAAATCGCCGTATTTGAGGACCAACAAATATAAATAAATAAATATATAATATTATATAAATGCATTAAAAAAAAAAAAAACTGTGGCGTATATGTTTCACCCTCCTTTTCACTCTCACTGATGGATTGTAATGATTTCTGGAAATTTGGCGGCATCATTGTTTCTGAGAGCATGCGATTTACTTTTGAAACACAAACGGAGATTTTCATGGAGTAAAACAGGACATTTAGTAGACTGTAGATTTTGATATTTCTACGTTTGATTTTTATTACACCTTAATACTTTCCGTATAATTTTTCGCATATTTTCGGAAAAGGCCCTGGAAACATAAATTTTATTACTAAAAAACCGCTAAATAACTAAAATATAAGAAATGCAAATATCATAAAAGCTAGAGCACATTTAATATTTTCATTAATAAATTCGTAATTTGGACAGTTAAAACCATCAAAATTTGCTTATATATCCAGGGCAACAAAAAAAAATATAAATTGTTTGTTGACACAGTTCTGTCATTCAATAATAATATTCATGATAAAAAAGAGTTATATTCAAAATTTGCAAGACTGTGCATACGTGTTAGACTTGGGATCCCTAATTTCAAAATTCTTAAATTCAAAATGGACACTTATTCCATACGATAGGGGATATGTGTTATATATGATTTGATAAATAGAGATAAATATATTATTTCGCGTCGAACTCCTTACTGCACCGGTCTTCGGCCGCGCTTCAATGGAATAATCCTGGTCGATCCTACATCAGGGTGTCCATAGTTCTTTCGCGTCACACTCCTTTATGCACTGTTACTTTTTGAGTTTGGCAATTTTTTTATATTCAAGATTTTTTGTTTGAGGATTGAGTTTTTGGGGGTTTCGAGGCTCTCTCTGTGTAAACAAAACTTTGTTTCTAAATGTTTTGTTGCTGAGCACGACTTTTAAATCAGTTTTGAAAATTTAAGTTGAAACAGATTTGAAAATTTAAGTTGGCTTATCCAAGATAAACAGAAAATCAAAATGTTTCAGCAAAAGAGGATTAATTAATGATAATGTAATAAAGATTTATTGCGTACAATGACAGAAGATACAATAATCGAGTTAAGTACTTAAAAATATCAGTGTTTATTGCACAATAAATGGCTGTGCTTAAAGTCAAAAGCCTTTCACATTTCAACCAAATCCAAAAAATAATTTAAATGACATTTCAGGAAATTTCCAAATTTTCTGGGAATTTTTCACAAAACAAAATCTCCTGGGCATGCCTCAAGTTTGCGTTTTACACTTTCCCATAAAGACAGATTCCTCAAATATTTATTGTACAAAAACTTAAAAGTTCCGAAAACTTACACAAAATTAAAAACACTAAGAGCTTCTTCGAAAATTTCGATAAACTTGAAGAAGTACAAAAAAAATTATACAATATTTAATTGTATTTCCATAAAGTAGCTGTTATTAGTTGTAATTACTTTTCCCATTAGCACAAATGTGAAACTTCATTCTTTAACCAGCTTAATCATATTTTTGCCACACTGAACACGTATTATGTATTATATACAATATATTTACATACATATTATTAGATGTTTTTGGCGAATAATATTTATTATATATAATATTTTTGTCTTATTTTGCTTAAATTTTAATAAAATATTTAGAATATTTTTCTTTCTTATAAATTCATCATCTTGCACACACACACACATAAATAATATTAACTTAACTTCCAACACCAAAACACTAAAGCAGAGAAAACATAAAATAGCAAAATTTCAAGCGCGTACATGTTTATTATTTCATTATCCGATTATCGCTTTCTAGTATTCAAACATAATCTTGCTTGCTTAGTGGCTGACAATAGAGCACAATCGAGTCAGAGCTTTAAAATTTACGAAATTTCACACTCTATTGCGTCGAAATACTTGTAGTTCAAAGTTCTGTTATATTCGCCCGCCAACTCTAGATTAATTGTGTTAAAGCACTTGTTGTTCTTATTAATTTCATTCCTTAAAGGAATATGCATGAAATGAGCAACTATATAATAAGATTTTAAAGAAAACTCTACACTTTACGTAGCCAGATCCACGCATGCCGCCAGTTTGTGCTTAAATTTTCAAATCGCATCTCAGCTCGGGTGAAATTTTTCCACAACCAAATTTTTGCATCGATGTTTCAAGGTGCGCGCATGTGTTAGTGAGCTTACAAAAGCGTGGTTGTGTGCGTGTGTGAATACTTCCTTTCAAGCGCGCACTCGTAAGCCGGCAGACCGATGAGGCGAATGCCACTGCCAAAGCGCGGAATTCGCGGGAAGCTGCGAAAATAACTGTTTTTTTCGTCACACCTCAATCGTATTTAATCAAGCTAGAAACACGAATGCACAGCTCATCAACGCCGAAGAAAAATCGGACTGAAGGTATTTATCACAAATATGTCATATGCCCGTGTTCGTTAGTAATTCTTTTGTCACTTTTATTTGGAATTTATTTTTGGCTTGTGTCGTATTAAAATATTGCGCGTTACTGGCTTCAGCGCCACTCACTCATCGACTAACTGCCATGTCCAGGTTGTACAAACAAACTGAAACTGATCGAAGTCACCGCTATCGTGTTATAGTAGTGCGCATGAGTGTTGCGAGACTCTCGACATTGCTAGTATGAGATTTTGTTTTCAGGTGGCTTGCTTAACGTCTGGGCTACGTGAGTAAGCGGCGTGCCGGCGGAAGGTGGAATGATCAAAAGTGGTTGAGCGATCGATTGAAATATCTCTACTCGTGGCTATGCTGGCTGTTAACTAGTTGTGCTGGCTCCGCCAAGTACACTTAGTCTGTGGCAGAGAGGCTTGGCTCTGAGTGCAGACCACAGCTGGTTGGTGCTAAATTCAAACACCGCGACTTGTGACGCCGCAAAGCGCGTGCTGCCATAGGCCAAAAATAACATATCAGCGTATCTTTTATGTATAAAAGTAATTAAAGTTTATATTATATTAAATGGCGTTTTTATTTTGATTCATTCTTAGCAATTAATGGATGTCAACTGCTGCTTTCTATTTGTGCATGGTGTGCAAGTTTTGTGGTAAAAGTTCATTTTTTTTCCCCATAATTAAAATAGTTCGAAAATCGATTAAAATAAATATTTTTTTTCTACTATACATTTATTTTTATTTTTTTTATACTTTATTATACCTGTTTGATTGATGTGCCTTAGCAAGTGGCCATTATTTGCGACAGTTTTGCAATTTTGTTGCTGCGATTTTTTATCACTTCTCTTGATTGATGACTTAATGCCTAAATTTTTATATAAGCAAATATTTAAATTTTTTCTCGTAGTTTTATTTTATCTTTCGCTTTATTATCGCGAATTGCACAAAAACTCCTGTGTAAAAATTAATGATAATTGATGCTGTACGGTGTGTTCGTGTGCTGTACCCTCTGACGATCAAGTTAATTGTCCAAATAAACATATAAAAAGCACATTCATTAGTTTACTGCTATTTCCAGTACTTGTACATACATTATAATACACGATAATAATCGTTAGACCATACAGTAGCTTCCATCAAAATGTGAACGATTTTTAATGAAGAGAATTCAATTTATAGAATTTTTAATTTTTTTTCGTATTGTATATTGCTTTTTGCATTAATCATTTAATTGCCATTGACATACGACATGTATATATATTAACGCATATATTTTTAAAATATAAATCATAATAAATTATTGCATTTTCATTGAAATGTTGGTGATTATTAAAGAAATGTCCGTATTAGATGCTTACCCACGTACTCACCTGGCATTATTACCGGCCAATGGCTGTTCCAGCTCGCTCTTTGTCACCACACTGATAGAGCGTGCCATGCGTCGCGGTTTCGCAGTGCCCTCCTTATAACCGAGATTCTCCATATTTGCTTATTTCACTTTTTATATATTTTTCTTGCAATATATTTTAGTATTATTTTGTAATGCTTTATTGTATTGATTATTTCGCTTTGTTGAAACTCAGTCAGTTCTTCTTTGAGTTTTCAAATTCAAAACATATTTGTTGTAATATTGTTATACGACTAACAGGGGCTTCTTTATTTCATAGCTGAAAGTACAAAAAAATTATAAAATTAATCGAGGTTTATTTCCTTCTTTTTTTGCACGAAAATTCATAACTTTTACATGAAGATTTAAAAGATCATCAAATTTATTGCCCCAGAATTTATATTTAGCAAATATAGATCTGAGAAGATATTTTTAAGTACTCTAATCGCAAGACGGTTGGGTTTAGCTTAAATTTTAAATTATATCGAACTTTAAATTCTTCGATACCATTTTTGTCGATTTTTTTCGATTTGTCTTTTGCTTCAAAAACGGCCATGGCATCGGTGAAGCATTTCCTTGGGGTCCGAAAATCGGTAAAAGTCGCTAGCAGTGAGGTCAAGATAATACGGCAATCCTAAGCCCAATTATGTACTTTCGCGCTTTTTCATTTATCGTCATTGAAAAATTTGAGTTTCATTAAAAATAACAATTTATATCGAAATAGAAAAAACGAAAATTGCTTGCATATAACAACACGTTACTCATACGCCCTGTAGAACGCATGCTCATGAGGCGAATTATTTCAGCACCACAAATTTTATACTTTTCTTTTCTTGTTAAATTTCTTTTTTAAAGAGTTGCATCCCATAAGCATATGAAATTTAAGTTTATGTTTATATTTAATAGAAGAACAGTTTTATGGTCAACCCTGGTCACTTTCAAACAGTTTGCTTATACAAATTTGGTTTAGATATTTTTCTTTATTTTATTATTATTATACACCGCTCGGTATTGATTACGTTTGAGCCAGACGTAAGCCAACGACTTTGTTGTAATAAAGCCGTACTTCCACATAAAACCACCCACATACATATGTATTTAAGTATTTGTTGCACTTGTGAAACTATAGCTTAGAAATTCGTGGTATTTTTCGTTATTTTTAAAGCGTACATAGTTGAAGTTTTGATTTCACTTTTTCTTCTTCTAGAAATGAAGTATTTAAAACTTTCCGAAACACTCTTCACCATTTGCTATGAAACTATGTAAGTTATAATTTCGCGTAAGCTTGATTAAGTAGCAACCTTTAACTGTAAACTGAGCAAATTAACAATGTATTTTGAGTTTATATTCATAAAAAATTATAAAAAATTCATTTTACTTATCTCGTTAGACTGAAGAAAGTTACGTCACTCACTATCAGACATCTAGCGCTGAAAAAACATTAGTTCAGCGATGGTGGAATTCCAAATCTTGCTCATCCGACATTTGAACAATAGATATGCATATGTATATATGTTATATGTATGTATCTGCACAGTAATGACCGCGCAGGAAATTTCTATACAGTTTGTGTGGGTTCATAAAAACTAAAATATTACCCCTATTACGGTATTTAACTCCAATCAGTTAAATTGAAGTTAATACAACTCAACTTCTGATTAACCAAACTTTTTTTTTGGTATTACGAAGAATTTCAACTATTTTCAGTTGTAAGTAAGTTTCATAGGTGTTGCCAACCAAGCTGAAAATTTTTAACTGAAAAATCGAAACAATTCAATTTAGTTATTGCCCTCGAGAGGGTGAATAATTATTAAAATGGACATTAGTTTCGACTTATATTACGATGGCAAACATGTTGCGGCCAAAATTGATGTGCTGCATATAAGAAAATTTGTTGTTATCAAAATGCAGTGGAAATAACTTTAATGTTGGGTTGGCGCAACCTATGAAATCTGCACTCGTTAAGAAAGTTCTAAATGTTATTGAACAATGTACAGTTTAAATGAGTTACGAGGAACAAAGTGCTTCAAAGATTTCATATAACGCAAAAAGTGCATTTCCAGAAGTGGTTGGTTGTATCGACGGGAGTCAAGTTCGCATCATTTGCCACAATTCTCTAATTTTTTTCTACTTCCAAATTGTGACTTGCCACGCCCTCAACAAGTTTTTCATTTTGTTGCAAGATTTGTTTGATAAAACTTCAACCGAAACTTTTTTTGACAATGTGAGTTGATATCGATAATACCGAATTTCATAACTTCAATCAAAATGCAGTTGAGTTGAAAATCGTAATAGAGCTTATGTTTAAGTACGCCTAAACTCGAGTTTATTAGCCAATTTGGTGCTAGCTACAAACTCCACTCACGACATTTTAAAAAATTTGCAATTAAACTGAGACTTTTTCAAGCATCACATGAAAACATTTGGCAATTGTTCGTAAGCTCAAACCCATTAACTCAATTTTGGAAAAATCCAAACATACAAACAAGAAAATCGGTCAAAAATAGAAAAGTATTATTTTTATAGAACATTTGTGCCTTAAAAAATTTGATATTACCCACTGTAGGTGGCTCAGAAATTGCTGATAGCGTTCTGAGAGATTTCAAGTCGCTGCAAACGATATTTTGAAAATACATATGGAGCAACGATGGTTGAAAAAATATTTTATTATGGTTATTATTTTTTTTTAAGGAAAAATATCGTCCTCGATTACTTAACTTAAGTACTTAGTCTTGAATAGAATAATAGTGCCCCTAGTAATTTTTCTGATTTTGCTCACTACAATATTTAGGTGCATGATGTCGATGTCGCTACCGCCAGATATGCCACCAGTTGTTGCTGTTTAGCGGAGGTAGTATTGTATACTTTATGCAACAATCAACGATTTTTTTTTATCTTTAATACCTTGTCTACACATCGCCATTGGTATGCATATCCAATAATCACACCCATCTGCACTGCCATACAAGAACGTGTGTATGTACCGTTGTAAGTTTTGAGTTAGCTCACTTTTGCTTTGGCAAGTACTCTCACTGTGTCGCAGCATTAATGTGTGCCTTATTTATCACCACCGCACCGTCGGCTGTGCATGTTTACCCAGCACACGGGTACATATTTGCGCATCTGCCACTCAAATGAAATCAAAATTGTTGGTGCTGTCACTACATAATGTTATTTTTGTTGTTCACCAACATGTCTTGTGTCTCTTTCTCTATGTAAATTCATAGGCAAATATATAATATATACGTTGGTTGAAAAGTTTCTGCGCTCCACATGAAAAAATACGGTTTTTGGTACGAAATATATTTTTTTATTCAATATAATCTCCCTTAATTTTATGCCATCTCTATAATGACTTTTCGGAAGCTCTGCAAAATAACCGTATACGGCTGTTATATTTTCTTCATTCGACGAAAAACGCTTTCCACGAAAGAATTGTTTCAGGTTTCTGCCGAGGGAGACAAATCTGGTGAATATGGTGGATGCTCGGGCAAATCGTACTTTAATTCATTGAATTTTATCATTGTTAAAACACCTTTGTAAGCAGGTACATTGTCTTGATGAAAAATGATTTTTTTGTGCTGAAAATCAGGTACTTTCTTACGAATTTTTTCATCCTGCTGATCCAAAAGGCTATATTAATATTCTGAGTTGATAGTTTTAACTTTATGCAGATAATCAATCAACAAAATTCCTTTTGCATCCTAAAACTGATGCCATAACCTTGTGCGGCACTAACTTTCCAAACCGCTTTTTCATACGTAATTCTCCATGTAAAATATGAAGTACTCGTTCGTCTGAGATGCCTATGGCATTAGCAATTTCACGCCTGGTCAAACTTGAAGCTAGCAACTTTTTAACCAATTTGTATACATAAAGACATTATACATATTTATATGTGCATAACCGTGTTGATAAGCTGGTCAGGATTTTGTTTTGACTTTTTTACCAGCCACCAGTGACTTTTTAATACTTATTATAATTAAATCTGTAACGCAGTTTCTGAACTTAGTTGTTAGCACTACAAGATAATTAATTAGCTGTAAGGTATGTAAAAAATTTTACACTAATATATGTAGTACGTGTTGAAGTCATTTGGATCAGAACTTT